GTAATTCTTTGTGTAATAAATATAATATTCAATAAAATATGACAATTATACTTTTTTTTATTTTTAATACTAATTATATTTATTTTGTTTTGAATATTATAATAATTATGAATTATAATTAATTTAATCAAAATAATTAATTATAACCATGTTAATTATTATTGAGAAATATTATTAATGAATATAAAATACATAAAATTTGTAAATTTTTATTTATTATCAATAAATTTATGCAATTATAATTTATTGATAATACAACTTAATTATCATGATCTCCACTAATAAAATTATAATTTTTAAATAGATAGAAAAAATTATAAAGTTTCAATAATTATGTAAGTGTCACTATACTATTGTAATTAATTATTATTATCAAATTAATATTGTGCTAATTGTGTACAACACTATAGTTATGAAAATAAACACAACAATTAGTAAACACTATTATCATTATTCAAATTACTCAACCACAATTGCTCAAGCCTAATGATATTCTTCTTTATTCATGAATCACACAATAAATTAAATTTACAAATTTAATAAATTAGGTTAAATAGCAAATGACACAAATAAATATAATACTAAAGTACAATCAATAAAATAAATTCATTTTGTTACCAAACATTTTAAAAGGGTGTTCAAAATTTGACAGCATCCAAAGATCTATGATTAACTATCATAAAACCCCAACAATTAGAGAATACTATTATCATTGTTCAAATTACTCATCCACAATTACTCGAGCCAAATAATAATTTTCTTTATTTATGATTTACACAATAAATTAAATTTATATATTTAATTAATAAAATATAATTAGGTTAAATGGCCAACGGCACAAATAAATATAGTACCAAACTAGAATCAATAAGAGAAACTCATTTTAACCACAAATTCCAATATAATTAGGTTAAATGGCAAATTGATTGTTAGATTTGAAATCATGTGGCTGAGAATGTGTCGTTGTTTAACCACAAATTCCAAAGTAAAATTTCTTGAATGTTGTGATACACTTTCATTCATGAGATTTTACGTCCAATGGTCAAAAGTGATTGTGACCTTCTTGTACCAAAAATAAATGGCTTTGTAGTATACAATCCCATAAAAAAAATTTTAAAATAAACTCTCTATGTACTAGAAGAAAAATAATGCCTTGTGACTGAATAGAGACCATCCAATTTTTGAAGAAGTAGATCTAAGTATTACAAAACTTATAATTCTTTTTTTGTTTTCTTTTAAAAATAATCATCTAGTAGTTTTCCTAAATTTTAGACTTAAACAATCTCTCTAAACAATTTGTGCAAGGGAGTGACATAATATGCTCATGGCGGAACATAGTACACGTGCTCACCTATTATTGTCCCATAAAAAATTATGGAAGTCCCAAAGACATACGTCCCTAAAATTCTTAAAGGGAAATTTACATCCGTACCAATTTTTAAAACCGTTGTAATGAAAAGGGTTTAAAATAGGCTCTTATTATTCAAAAGGACGACCCCTCATGAAATATTTTATTTTTTTGACAAATTTACCCCTAGTATGATTTTTTAGTCATCAGACCAATTGGTAATATCAATTGCCCATTTAGAGGTTTAAGGTGGTCCAATATTTTTAGACCTCATTTTTTGAAGGTTTAAGACCATATTTACACCTCATTTTTTAAATGTTTAAAGCAGTTTGATGTTGGACATCAGTTTTTGAAGGTTTAATGTAGTTATAAAATTAAAAAAATAAATTTAATATAGGGCTGATGTTTAAAATATCGAATAGGGGCAAACATGAAAAGATAAAAAATTGGAGGACCATTACGTACTACCGGTCAAATAAAATGATACGAACATAATTTTCCCAATTCCAAAATGACCGCTGAGCCTTGTGGTAACTCCATTGGATAAAGGATGTGGTTTGTAACAAGGCTTAGAGCTTGCGGAAAAAGTAACGCTGCACATCAAAAACCTAAGAGAAAAAATGTATTTTAGGCATTGGAAACAAATGTGATAGCCTAAAATCTATTTTTTCATAGCCTAAAATCTATTTTTTCCCTTGAGTAAGAAATTTGGAAGCTCCACGTAGATCTAGCATATTTATTACTACTTAGAATAAACAGTATAAGATATATTACTTAGGGTTTAAAATCCTTTTTTATAAATTTGTAATTTTTAAATTTGATGATCAATTTAAAAGTTTTCCAATATTGAAATTCCAATTTTAAGGGAGATTTGATATATGGATTTAATCTTTTTATAAAGTCAAAACGTTATACTAACTTTCTTTTTTAATCATTATTATAAAGCGAAACAACTAGCTCCAAAATATAGGACTTCATGATATATAATTAAAATTGAATAAAAAATTCTGGTATTACCCATGCTTCCCATTTCTTTTCAAAAAGAGAAAAAACTTTTAAGTTAATGAATATGTAAAGAACGTGGTTAAAAATAAAGCCTAGACTTCAGGAAAATAGTAAAGCCTCACCCCATAATCCCACCATAAAATAAAAAAAGTTACGACATTAGAATATCAATAAAATGGTCAAACCACCTTCACGAAATCTTTGATGTGGCTAAATCTACTAATTTATCATTTCCATTACGTTACCTTTGACTATTTTAGTAAAATAATACCCAAAAACTGCTTTTATTATAAAATTGAAAAGTTAAATAGATCGTCGTATTTTGGTAATTTAGCCTCACTTAAGTACCAATGTTGTAAATACTCCAACTTGTTTCATGTTCCAAACTAGAACCCAAAACACATTTTTCAATGAAATTTCTTCTTCTAGGTTCGAACAAGCAATGTTATTTACGTCATTAGTATTCTTGAGCCAAATGCGAAATTCTTCCCACTATTCACATTTCCGAATCAAAAATGTTTGTGTTTTAAAATCCAAAATAATTAAAGGCATTTTGGTAATTTAACATCGCTTATATTATACTTTAAACATTCAAGGTAATACTTTAAACATTCAAAATACTCCTATTTATTCAGGATTCTACTGGTGATCTACAAATTTGTGGGCATTTTAAATCGATAAGTTGCTTCAGTGAAATGATCTTATCAAATGTCATAATTTCCATTCATATTCAAAGTTCCAAACTGGAACCCAAAATATATTTTTTTCATTAATATCTCTCGCTAACTGTTTGGAATGCAGAATAAACGTGGGATTTTTATATTGTTTGGCTTAAGTGGGACTAATCCAAAATTGCCCTTACTAATTTTGTATTCTATTTTCGCATAAAATCTCTTATTTGAGTTAGAATCAAGAATAAGTCAACGCATTTTACTGATTTAGCGCTCGCATATTGGGCTGGCAATGGGCCACGCTCCTGATCC